TCACTTTTGCGTAAATAGTACCGCAGGCTTCCGAACCCTATTCTTCCTTTTAACAGTCGGAATGACCAAACCTACGCGTGACTAGAAGTTCCGTATCGGGAACCTCAAGGCAACATTTGAGAGTATTCTACTTCCAAAAGAGATGATGACGACACATGCAGCGAGAAGAATGAATTCACTTTAGCCGAGTCACACGACTCGGAATATGTCATAAATGCCCACCACCTGTTGCATAAATCATTCGATATTAAGATCTGGTCATGAGTCCAGTCCTCCTGTGATCCTATGGGAATACTTCAGAAAAACGCATCGTGATTTCGGTTGCTTTGATCGTGATCCATAAAACGTGTCGTAATTCATAAGGTTTAAGTGTGAGGCTTCAATGGAATGATTACCTGCAAAAGTAGTGTAGAAAACGAACGTCGTTCTTACCGAATTTCACAAACGCATCGGGCAATCATGATACTGAGAAGGCACCCAGTATTTCACACATAGCTACCACGCCGCTTGGGTCTGTCCCTAAATGATACCTCAAAACCGAACTGCACTCAATTGCCTGGAACGCAGACCCGTTTGGTACCCGTTCCGAATAACATGCCAGTTGTGTGCCGGATCAAATTTATCAACTGATGTCATACGATTGATTGCACACAGACCGCGAGATGTGGGAAGTTTCCAAAATCACCGAGAACTACGCCATCACTAATAGTAAACCGGCTGTCGAGGAGATCCATATGAATAAGTTCCCTAATTTCAACGTAGGTCGACTTCAACTGGAGTCATTATCGCTTGGACTAAATTTTGGGTTTTGATCCAGAGGGATTGGACAAGCTGCCACAGAAGCGGGGTAATAACAGGACGTTGTAAATTTATGCAAAGTAGGCTATTTGTGATGCTGTCCAAATATACATTTCAGCACTGCTCAAGGTCAAGACATCACACAATCCGCTTAATTTATATCCTGACATAAGTCAAGGTTTTCTGTTATTCTCCGGCCAGCAAAACGCCGTCCCAACTTGGTCGGTCTGATAATAAAATGGCAACCTTCAGCTGGCACTCTCGCCGATAAAGATTCCGCCAACTGCACGCCAAACCCTGACAGACAAGCATTCACTTCTTTAGTGGTGAGATTTCTAGAATACATGTCCAAACCACTCTCATTTGAACAGTCCTTAGTATTATGGCAAATCGTTCTGTTGAACGTGCGCATAAAGAAGGAATCACTGGATGGAAGGTTCGCTCTTAGTAGAGCCCATCAGTAGTACCTGCATACAAGGCACGTCGATTGGGGTCTAGGAGACCTGAGAGGTGAGACGAGGTACAGACCCTGAATGGGCCTGAATTCAATTGTCTGAAATGGAAACTGGTCACTCGGTAAATTAATAGACTAGTCAGTTGTTTATTCACCAGTCGCGTCAGTGGATGTGGTTGTCCAGGTAAATATGGCTATACTCACCATTTTCAAAAATATTCGAAATTTCAAATGTCGTTCAAACTCAGGACTAACATGCAGGAAAATCTGAGACTTGCGTGTATACTATTTCGTAAAATCACCAATAATGAAATTGTAGGGTTATAATTCGCAACTCCCGACAAAACGGCCACCGCAAGTGAGGCTGTCACGTAGTCAGGTAAGATAAACCAAAAGTTCTCATCTAAGGTGTCATCGAGTGTGAATGCGTGCACACAACGTGACATGATGTTCAATCTCCCATAATTTGAAGCTTTATAACCCGCTGGAATACGGCTGGTTGCTATTGAGGATGATTCAGAATGGGGTTAGGCCGCCTGTAAGATATTTCTGAAGATGCCACACACTTTGGATAGATTTTTCTGGTGAAGTCTTCACTAAACATTCCTGTACCATCATTGTCCAACAGGCAGTGAATCCGCAAACTAGGATTCGCTTCCTTTTCAGGTACTTCCCGTCAGAATAAATCAGTCCGGTCGAGTGGTGAACGCTTGTTCAGTTCGTTGAACGTTGATCACATAAACGCTACTGGCGCCTTGACAAGGACATACTCGAAAACGAACAAATAACCGTTACTTAAGCGGATAGCTATCTGGCATCCTGCCGATTGCTTTGAAGTTAGAAAGTTTTGGTGAATTTACGTCACTGGGCAAGAGATGTGATTCCAGCTATAGCAAACGTACCCGAGAATAACGATAAAATTAACAGACAGATCTGTTTGGGGCCATTGTGGAAAGCAAGTCCAACCTTCTTTCAGTCACCTACAATCGTTCAATTCATTTTTCCCGTAGTGTTAGCTACAGATGTATTGACAAATGCACCGGCTACTACCTCACCAACTAAGCTCACCCACCAAGTAAATGGTGCATTTTCCAAACATAAAACCACGCAGCTTCGTAAACCAGTTTGAACACGGCATTAGGAACAGCAAGCTTATGAGATGAGCACGCACATCTCGTACCAATACAGGTTGAATGCAACTGGTATTACCAATTGGTTACTAAGACGAAGATTATTCCCCACGTCTTTTTGAGCGCACAGTACACGAACTGATCACGTAAACTTCTCAGTCCAAGCGATAATGACTCCAGTTGAAAATGACGTACTTTGAAACTAGGGAACTTATTCATATGGATCTCCTCAACAGCCGGTTAACTATTACGCGATGACGTAGTTCTCGGTGATTTTGGAAACTTCCCACATCTTCCGGTCTGTGTGCAATCAATCGTATGACAGTAGTTGATAACTGGCACGTCATTCAGAACGGGTACCAAACGGGTCTGCGTTTCAGGCAATTGAGCGCGGTTCACTTTTGAGGCACCAGTTTTGGACAGACCTAAGTGGCGTGGTATTTCTGTGTGTGATACTGGGCGAGATTTCTCTATGACAATATTGCGAAGAACAGGTGTCAAACAATTTTAAACTTGTGTTCTTTGAATGGGAGTCTAGTGAGTTTGTGGGATCAGTCTGTAGAATGCAGTAAGAATTATGATTTTTCTCCACACAACTTTTTTTGCATGTATTCATCGCGTTCATGCTCCACACCAAAGACTCATCAAATGCCTTATATGGTATGAAACACAAGTGAAGGTGGTTTAAGCCCGATGGTTGTTTTTCTGAATTCGGAGTAAAATCAATGCATGTGGTTGAAACTTTACATCAGTTGACGCTACCAAATGCACGCTTTGTGCTTTGGGTAAGACGAACTTATTGCTACCATCCCACGTGTTATCTTGTTGTCCAGAATGTGAAATACTTCCAGTTTTGTGTGCATTGAGAGTTCTGATATAATCAGATCGAGTTGTCGTTAAACGAAGGCACCTACGAAGAATTCAAGTTTTCACAGCCTTGTGTGGTCGCACACAGATCACCCTCCGAAAACGGAGTTTCGTGACAATAATGTGTACTCTAGTCGCCAACTTGCGATCCTGATATCAACCAAAATCCGAACTTTTAAATCACATTAGCACTTCAACTGTGGGATTATATTATTGCCCAGGATTATATTTAGAGAATAGAAAGACACTGATTTTGTCCTCATTCGTAAAGCTCCTTCTAATTATGTTGAAGTGTTGTTTAGAGGCCTCCGGACGAAGGTCCCCGATCACTTTGTTCTAATTCCTATTTATGGGATTCTAACAACAGTCGGCTCTGTAGCTCCGTTACGTTAATTCCTTAACTTTTTCTGCACGAGTCCGATTTTCCATAAAACATTCAAAAAAATTGGGATGACGCATTTTGAACATAAATTTGGCATCCAGCTCTCTGTTCCTATCTTTTAACGACCATGAGGTCAGCTGCAACCAATTGTTGCATCAAAATACTTGCCACTGTTTCTCAAACCACGCTTGTGTCCGATGAATGGGGGGGCTGCGAGTTTTGTCGACTTTTGGCACAGTATCCGAAACCTTTTTACGTCTTTGACCATCGACGTCCCAGAAAGTGGCTCAAATCGACTGGTACCAACAAATTCGGAATGAGGAGTTCAGGAATTGGATTTTCGTTGAGGTAAACGGTAGCGAAAACCCATAGGTTAGAGAGGATATAAATTTGCAGAAGGGATTGGTTTTCGCTAAGAAAATTCTTGTTGGCGTTCTAGGACGAGGTTCACGTGACCCTTCGTGTGGTTGACTTTCTGAGCTATATAACGACCAACCGACTCTCTGTCGGTTTCTATGCAAATTGTTCGAATGTGTTCGAGGTGTGGGTGGCTGGAACCCACCCCTGTCAAATGTTCTCTCTTCTCTTCACAAGGCTTTATTCAAAGAAATCGATATGGTTGTACAGCAGTGAAGCACGAATGTTTTTATCTGCTATTCTCGTCAGTGTTGAGGATTAAGATAATGAGCATATAAGAAGGTGTTTTTAACTGCGAGAAGGGTTTTAGTCGCAGAATAACGTGTCCCAATGTCCATCCTAAAGTTTTTTTTAGATTTGTTCACTTCGTCTCCGTTTACGCATGATTAATGCTGTTCTTATTTCCTACCCCGAAGCCACTTTCAGTGTGTTCTGGAGGTCCATGCCTTTTCGTCTGTATAATTTGCTTAATTTCTACACTCCAAAATATAAGTCTGGTACAGCGGCTGTATTCCGATGAATGTTCCGGAGCAACCACTAGATGTGAATGGTCGCTCTGAAGAAAACGGTCCCAGTGTTCTGTCCTGGAAGTAGTTTCTTTTTAAACAATTTTGATTAAAGTGGCAATTTTTTTCGAAGTCGCATTAGTAACCCGAGATTCTCTATGATTGATTTTCTTGGAAGTAAATAGAAATCGGTCTCATTCCTTGAAAGTAAACAGGCCAACTTCGCGTATTTTGCGGCATGCAATTCTACCAACATTCCAAGGACTAAATTACCACTTTCGTTGCACCAGAGATAGGCCAGATAAACTAATGTCTGAAAAAGTGGCAGCAATAGGTTTATTCACAGTTTTTGGCCCGGTAAAAACGTGGTACATATGGTGGGATATCTGAAGGCTTTTTTCGATGGAACTGGCTCAACATACTGAAAGACAGAGTGTAATCTTATATCAACCAAACGATCTCAGGTTCAACCTTCCACAGACAATCTTCTTGAACGCAGCGCGGAATTCCGGCGAAAACACAGTGTACAGTACAGGATTCAAGGATGAATTCAAATAGCCAAGCCATAGAAAAAAACTGTCCGCCCAGCGCGGCATAAGACATCCGGGTTTGCAAAACGGAGTTACAAGAGCACGAACGAAAAAAGGTAGCCAACATAGGATGAAGCAACCGGTTATGATCGCCACAGTGATGGCGGCTTTTCGCTCGCGAGTATGTTCCAAACGCTCTCGGTTCTGTTCCGCCTGTAACAGTTTTCTGTCTAATGGCAGCTCGCTTATGCGGTTGTTTTTATCGTTGCCAATATCAGCGCTGTTATGTTCCCTGGGGAGATGCAATAAATGCATGTTGGAATTTGCCATATTTGCTCCCACCCGTTGTTTGTTGACGAAGGACCGAGCATTAAGCGGAGGTTTTTTGGCATCCATTTGGTCCATTCCCAGTGGCAACGTCCCATTTCCATTAGTCAATGGGACCGGAACGGTTGATACATGGTTTCCAATTTGATCACTCACCTTGTTTGGCACTATCGGGAAATTTTTCCTTACGCTGTTAGTTTTCCCACTGGGCAAAGTGGAATGTGTGCGAGATTCCCATATCGAGAGTGGTATGGATGGACTGGGATTATCCACTGTATGATTACTGTCATGTTGTCTGCTTACAACTGTGTCACCAATCAAAACGTGATTGAATGGAACTGTGTAGGAATCAACGGAAGATAAGTCTGACAGAGTTCCCGCAATATTCGTAGGCAGGTGGTCGCTGCCAAGCGGAGTTTTCGGGTCCGAATCAGGTTCCAGTGTGCTCTGACTAGATCCCAAATAGGGTGAACATGGAAAAATAGTGGTCGTATGTGCAGTGTTTTGAAAAAGAAAGTTTGCATAGGTTGTTCGTTGTTTTTGATGTTGCAATTTTGACACATCCGGACTGGAACAACAGCTATCACTCTCACTGCCATCCATGACATATGGACTATGGGGAGCAGTCGTTGAAAATGTACTCTTAGTACGTGCGATATTTTGACATGCGTCATCCCAAACAACCGACATTTCACATTCTCCCTGAGCTATAAGGCAACCGTTCCTTTGCCACAGAAAGTAGTCCACTTGTGATACGCGAGAGGGAACCGAGTCTAGTCCGCTAACATCTGAGCAGCTTGAAGACGGATCTTCGAGTGTAAATGAGCTTGGTATTACGGTCAGTTCATCACCGTTTTGAAGAGTTACACTATCCAGTTGATACATGGATGAATTAGAAGTTGAGTGAGAGTTGGAAGTAAAGCAGTTTGCTGAATTTTTCTCTGACGAATGCAATGTTTTACCAGTAAGATGAGGCAAAATCTTGCCAGGTAATTCTAGATCCTCGAACCGTACATCAAGAGCACATTTGCACAAGTCAGAGTTGACTAATGTGTGTCGGTTTGTGATGGTGGGGTAACGCATAGCATGATTGCAACACGAACTGGTGGAGAAGTGAACGGGGCTCAGAGCATATGAAGTACTTTGATTGGAACTCTTATCTATGCCATCCTCGGTTTCAAAGAATGAGGTCGTCCGGTCAGAAAAGATGCAACTTGGATCTGCTTGCTCCGTGCTTTGTGGAGAGGTCTGACGTGTCTGACTGTTACATGACATCGAGCGCAATTCACTCTCGGTTTGCCTAAAAAGAAGGGTTTTTCGCCAAACACCTACTAGTTGAACTCGCCACGAACTGGAAGATACATGTTTCTGATGTGAATCCATCTGTTTGGTGGTTCGAAAATTTCGTTTCCTGATGCGTGAGCGCGCTGTGTGATAAATCTTGAGATAGACCGCTATTATGAATCCCATCGGTAAGTAGAAGGCACCAACAGTGGAGAAGATTGTAAAGCCATAATCGTCGTTAATATTGCATGCACCTTCAAGAAGTACCTCTTGAATGGTCTTCTGTTCACGTGAGGTGTGAAATCGTGTCGGCAGGGAGATGGCCAATGCCGAGATCCAAATAACGACAATCATTACAAGGACGGGCTTTGTGGTTCGACTTCGTACGTAATTTAGACACGTAATGGCCCAGTACCGGTCAATAGCAATGGCGACAAGATGTAGAATAGATGCGGTGCAACACAGAACGTCCGTTACCACCCAAAAATCGCACAGCATCAGACCTGTGGAGGGGGAAAAAGTGAGGGAAAATATGAAGGTAAACAACTATGCTGACAAAAAGCCGTGCATACTTCATTACGAAAGGCATAACGCGGTTTAGTCTGGCTTGGATTTGGTTGTTTAACTGATGCAGGGTTCCTGACAGATAGTAACCTTATGGTGACATCAGAATGAGGACATTTTCAAGCAGTTTAGCTAGAATTCAGTTCATCAAATCAATTGCTTTTCACTGATCTGGAGCATTTATTCAACTATGATGACTGTGTGGTGTCTACTCAAACAATTGCGGTCGCACTTAGGTTAGATTGCAGACCACTCCTTACATTGCCGGAAATTGGACCAAAAACAAGTACTACGTGCGATCCGTTACAGCCCCTGTTTGAACCACCAAAGGATCGTTGGTACAGTAACAAGCTATTAGTTAACGTTACCGAAACGCAGACGTACCGAACCCCCTCCTAAATAATGAGTGCCCTTTATTCACGGAACCTATATCACGTGATTGTATGTTCACCAGATCCTCAAGTGACGAATTGTCAGATAGAAGATCCAACTGTAGTGTGAATTATTCTCCCTTGTGAGCTACCCGTGCTACATTAGTAGTGTGCGGAGAACTCCCCGGGGTTTTGTAAGGTTGATCATTTCCCATGAGGAGGAAACAGCTTTACAGAATCTTTGGGCTTTACAGCATACATGGTGGAAGGCCCCAGGGAAAAATGTTGCTGATTGCTCTGTGAGTCCATATATATTAGGGCGATCCCAATTACTTTCATCCAAGTAGCCCAAGTACTTATGTGTGACCAGATTTTCAGGGAAAGTCCAGATATTTTGAGAAGTAATATCGGCGTTGCTATTCGGTGTTTTGCTTTATTTATTGATGTCTCCCGAGCGCCTCTGCTCATCGAGCAGGTTTTGAGCTTGAATGAATATCAGCATTTCACAGATAATAGCACAACTAGCTTCAGACGAAACATTTGTGTAAGAAACTTTGAGTTCGGCTCCAATTCAGATTACCAATGGCTCAAAATTTCACTGGCTATATGGATTTCTCCGTCATCTGGCAGAATTCAACAACATTAACAGTTCCACACACATTTGTGGTAAGTGAAGTTTTTCTTACGCCAGTATACTAAACAACCGTCCTCGGCCAACTGTGTGGAATAGTTGCGAAAGCAACCACACGTTCTGCTTTGGGTAGATAAGGTTCTCATTTGTGTTATGCTTGGAACGTTTTTAATGTTTTTTGAAGAAAGTTTGGTGAGCAACAAGAAAATGTTTTCTTATTTTGTAAATAATCTTTTATCATCTTCGTCTCACCAGAGATTTATCCAGAAGTCTACTTGTGTAGATCAAGGAGGTAAATTTGTTGAAGGGTTGTCAGGTGAGTGAAGGACACTGAGGGATCATAAAAAATCAAGAGAGTAAATCAAGAGTTACTTATTTTGATCACGATCACCACTCAAGATCAGGTTAGAGTAATGGATTCATTGAAAACAAGGGAATAATTTGGCTTGGAGGGATATTTCGTCTGAATTTACACCCTCAATCAGCCTCAAGGCAGTGTTTAGTTGGACTTCACACTTAACGACAGAATAACGTTCACTAATGAACACATTGTCTTGTAGGAACGGGAATGCATCTCCTGATTATTTTGTGATATAAATGAAAGACAGCTTTACTCAAGCCTGTTGATACTTTCAAGTTCAATCCGGGACGGTTAGTTACAAGTCAGTTAGAATTTCCAAGTTTGTCTTCATAGACATATTGTATGAATCGCAAATGAGTATAGGTCACCAGTCTGTTTCCGAGTTTTGTTCTACTACAACTCTAAGGATCATCATACATCATTCAAATGCCTAATAAAATGGAAAAAGGTTAACGATAGATGCGACAGAGCAATAAAATTTAGTGAACTGTGCTAATTGGTTGCCCACATGAACCACTTTGGCAGACGTGCTTAGAAATAGTACAACAATAAATGAATTCTGAATGATTTTGCATGCTTTACGGGGGATTACTAGGGTCTTGTCCATTAGTCTGCAGGAATGGAGTTTGTGTCTGGTCCCATCCAGAATTCCAAAGATAACTTTACATATTAAAGGTGCGAAGCTCCTGCCAAACTGTGTGGCAGGGTTACTTGGGCTATCTAAGATGTTCTGCATTTTCGAAGGTTCGGAGCTAAGTAGAGCAATACGATCCGCATACTCAGTGTCTGTAAAGGAACGTCCCGGGAACATTTCGACCTCCAAGGTTTCGGACACAGGCAGAGAAATTTCAAGCAACACATCAATAACAAAGTTGAAGAAAAAGGGTGAACGAGAGCATCCTTGTCTTACACCACTGGACGTTATGAACTTAGGCAAAAGATTGCCGTACAGTATGCGTCCGCAAGAGTTCACATAAGGCGCCCTCATTCGAGATATAAAGTTAGAAAGGGAACCTTCGAAAGCCAGACACTGCCAGAGTCTCTGACGATCAACATGGTCAAAGGAGGCTTTTGTATCATGAAGAGCAACCAACTTGGGACGTCTGAAGGAGTGACGTCATTCAACGATTTGTCTCAATTCAGAGACACGACTGATGCATCCTCGCTTAGGTTGAAACCTGGTTCGATTCTACCGAATCTGCCTTTCTGAATAATCGATTCGCCTGAGTGAAATAATACAATGGAGCAAGTGAGATGCGACGGATACCAAGGTGATGCTCAAATTATTATCCCTTAAGCATTTGCGTTTGCGTAAAAACTACTTTAATTACATAGGCGGGAACACCTGTTTGCTCTAACACTAGCCAATGTCCAATCAGGTACTGTCCCGCTTCCGTATGGACTGGATGATTGTTCCAGGCTAGGATGAGAGAAATTCCTGCTTGGCACTTGCCTTACATAACCATATTTCCAATGAAAACCTAAAATAAGCATGGTCTTCCGATATTCGTCTGTACAACGAGAACTTGCACACCAATGTTTCCAGACAGTCCATTTTTGCGATATCAAAACGATACAATTTCCCTGTGCGTTTGTCTGATGTGGCAGGCAGTGGACACTCGATTGTGTAGTTGGTTTGCGACGCAATCTGTAGGCGGGTGAATAAAGCCCTCTGAGACGAGTTTGCTGATAAAACACATGATAAATATGTAGCTTCGCGTTTGTCGTCCAACGAGCTGCAATCCATGAATAAAGCCATTCAGTTCGTTTTGATTCACATACTTGTATGATTTACACAGGGAACACAAAACTAAAAGCTGTTTTTCACAGTTGAATACTAGCATTCAGGGATGACGAATCCTTCCTCAAAACAGTGGGCAGTCAACATTTCAACAAAGAGCTACTTTGGTTAACGATTGATCAATCCTCAAATCAACAAAATCATTCGACTGCCTTGTTAATGCACTGAACGCAAGAAGTACTCAGCCTACATATCCTTACAAATGAAAACAAGGGACCTCCAGATATCTAGGCTCACCCTACGTGTATGCACATAAGATATTCTCCTCAAGGCCCGAAAATTTGAGAGAGCTTAAGAAAACGAAAATGAATGCGCGGATAATCAGTTAAGTTTTTGATTATTATAAATTTGATTTTGGAACTGATTTCATTTTTCGTTTGGGTACAATTCGGTATTCAGTCAGTAAATATCTCTGGAAACGCACCTAATTACTAAGCCATAACCGCCGCGAAGAAAATAAAACTTATTGTGGTGAGACCTTTTGTATACCTCAGTAATCTGGAGGATGCTCTCGTGACATCCGCACAGGTTAGGCTGTGGACAGGCATCTGATGAACACAGTATCCTGGCCCTCCGGGTTTGGGTTGTGAACATGTGTGGGAGTTTTCCATCTAAAATTTGAGCTATGTGAGTACTGTCAAGCCAACTTTGCTGTCCTGCGATTGGGATTTTGGGAGAAGGGATTCGACTGAGTATCCCAATCGTCCTTCTGTCTGGGTTTTGGCACCCCCAGTTCACATAAAACCATGAAAGTTACGGACAAAAGCACTTCAGTGCCATATTAACCGTTTTATGGCGGTAAAGCACCAGAATGCACCACTCGTATATCGTTGTCGATGATGATGAGCCCCAAGTAGGGAAAAAACGATCGTGGGCTGCCGAGTAGTTTTCAACACTTAATGACCAGTAACTTATATTCAAGCAACTGCATTTTCAGTTTTCTTCCGGCTGCATACACAGATGAGCTAATTACAGCTTCGGTCAAAAGACGAGTCCAACGTTGTTAGCACGCTGGTATAATGTTTTAATTGGGGAAATTAGACGACGCACAGTTCTACAACCACAGCCTTTCTCATGAACTGAATTGTAAGGCTTTTGGTAATACAGAAGCGTATAACTGTGGTCATACGCGGGGCGATTATTGGTTCATTATTTCTACCGATTGCGTTTAACTGAACCTTCTTGAAGAAAGCCCACACAAACTGATATGAGCAAAATCTATTCCACTAAGTTTGACACAGATGAGGCCGACCACCACCGACCAACAACCAACAGGGAAGTAGACAATGTAAGGGTTTTTCGGTGCAAGGCAGTAAACTAACTTTTATATTTAATGATATCGGGCTCTTTCCCACATGATTCACCTTAGCTCTAAACTCCCGAAAAGCGTGCGGTTATTTCGTCAACAGCACGTAGCTCTCTAACAGCTTAAGTGGTTCGAACCCGTCAGCATTCTTGCAAAAGTCTGAACGTGCCCTCATTCAGCCATCGGTGGCGGATCCAGTAAGACTGACGACGTTGTGGCCGAATACAGTTCAGCTCACATTATGTGGCTTGGTACTGGATTCCCGCTACATGAAAACTTCTCAGCTGAAAACCGATCTATCTGAAAAGACGCTAATTTCC